TTGGAAATGTAAAGGTAGATATTTTATAGCAAGGGGGGGAGTGATTAACTTTTCAGTCTAGGAGTGGAGTTCCCTAGGACCATCAAGGGAGAAGAGCAGAGAGCAGGACCCTACCCAGAGAAGCAGTGATGCCTGAAATGGGGCCAGAGATGATGACGTGGAGCGATGGAGCAGCTGGAGACTTTAGATCCACAGAGGGAGAGGGACTGTGTGCTAAAGACCTGTGGGGCACGGGGGACGGATTGCATGGAGGGGATTGTAACCATGGCAATGAGACGATATATGATAGAATGAATGTAAAACCAATGTTCTCCTATGTAAACTATCACATAATTCACAATAAAACATTAAAAAAAAAAAAAAGATGGAAGGATACATAGAGTACTGTACCAAAAACAAATGGCCTATGTTCAACCACTTCAAGACGTAGCATATGATCAAGAACTAACAGTACTGAAGGAAGAAGTCCAAGCTACACTGAAAGCATTGGTGAAAAACAAGGTTCCTTGAGCTGACGGACTACAAAGGGAAATCTTATAACAAATATATTGATGCCGCACTGGAGAAGCTCACTCATCTGTCAGGAAATTTGGAACTCATCTACCAAGCCAGCCAACTGAAAGAGATCCATATTTATGCCCAGTCCAAAGAGATGTGATCCAAAGGAATATGGAAATAATAAAAAAAAAATCATTAATATCACACACAAGTAGAATTTTGTTGAAGATTATTAAAAATGGTTATATCAATACAACAAAAGGGAACTGCCAGAAATTCAAGATGGATTCAAAAGAAGACATGGAACTAGAGAAATCATTGCTGACATCAGATTGATCTTGGCTGAAAGAAGAGAATATCAGAGAGATGTTTACTTGTGCTTTATTGACAATGTTAAGAGTTTCAACTGCATGGAGCATGACAAACTAGGGATAACATTGTGAGGAATGGCTACTCCAGAACACTTCATTATGCTCAGAAAGAATCTGTACGTAGACCAAGAGGTAGCAGTTTAAACGGAACAAGGGGATAGTTTAAAATCAGTAAAAGGTGTGCACCAGTGTTGCATCCTTTCACCATAATTATTTAATCTGTTTGTTGTTGTTGTTAGGTGCCATCGAGTCGGTACCACTCATAGCAACTCGACACACAACAGAATGAAACATTGCCTGATCCTGGGCCAACCTCACAATTGTTGCCACGCTTTAGCCCATTGTTGCTGCCACTTTACCAATCCATCTCGTTGGGGGTCTTCCTGTTTTTCTTTGACCCTCCACCTTAACAAACATGATATCCTTCTTCTCCAGCAACTGGTCCCTCCTGACAATATGTCTGAAGTATGAGAGATGAAGTTTGGCCATCCTGGCCTCCAAGGAGCACTCTGGCTGCACTTCTTCC